GCAGGCCCATTTATGAGTATACGCATAGCACAGTCTTTTTAAAATCATGTTGATACATTGTTTTGAATATTAAAACTACTTCCTATCATCCAAGCAACAACTGCACCTTTTTACTGACACCGTTCAGTCACCACTTAAAAGACCTCTCTTTAATTATAAACATCATAGACAGAATACATTTAAGTCTTTTTTATGATCTTGTATGATTGACCCTAATATCTGGCTATCTGCCATGAAGTAGTTCTCCTCTGTCATCTGGGTCACTGTGGTTCAGAAATCACTAGGAGTTGGTAACATACAACAACAAAAGGCTTGCTCAACAAACAGTAGGTTTTCTTGGGATGCAGAAAGTAGTCTCAGTAGTCTCTGCTGAGCACAGGTTCTTAACTGAATTATGGTCCTGTTAACTGTGTGGGAGTAGCCCTGCCCATCACGTGACAGGGGCAGTGGCCATGTGCTAGGCTGCAAACAGAAAGGTCTGTAGTTAGAAACTACCAGGAGTTTCACAGAAGACTCAGATGTCTGTTTCTATAAAGAGTTATTGTTGTTGTTATGTGCTGTCCAGTTAGAACCGACTCACAGTAGGTTTTCAGAGGCTGCAAATCTCATGGGAGAATGCCTACCTTTCTCCCAAGCAGCAGCTGGTGGATTAAAAATGCCTGTCTTTAGATTGGCAGTTCATCTCCCTTACCACAAAGGCACTATTAGAGTTCCCTTATAAAAAAATTACAACTTGTAAATCCTAGAAGGCAGCTTTACTCTGTACCTACAAGAATATTGAGAGACTCAGCGATGTTAAGTTTTTGGTCTGAGGCCTCCACTGGTAGTCTAGTGTAAGGTGCTGCCCTGCTAACCCAAGGCCCAACGTTCTAATCCACAGAAGAAAGTTGAGGGCATCTCTGGTTGGACATTTACCAGACACAATTCACAAAAGAAAAGGGCTTATTTGTTGAGACTATGAGTCTGTTCTGACTTAATGGAACAACCACCCATTACATGCTGGTAGCAATCTGTCACATATATCCAGACTTGGCCAAATATCCCCTATCCTAGTGAGTAAGGAGGCAATACAGTCCAAAGACCACTACCTTACTTAAATTCTCCATTGATAAGTATCTACTTAGTTTACCATTTGTTTCCAAAGAACAGAAAAATTCTGTTGTTAGGAGCTACTGTGTCAGTTTTGACTCAGAGTGACCTTCCACCAGGTTTCTAGGGCTGTAAATCTTTATGGAAGGAGATTGCTTATCTTTCTCGCTGGAGCAGATAGTGGACTCCAACTGCTGGCTTTCGGTTAGCAACCCAACACATAAGGAACTATGCCACCAGGACTCTAAGGAGGGCATGAGTCTCTGAAAAAGAATATCACCCTTGAAAAATAGGAAGATCCTGTGGTGAGCTCTGGTGGCCCAGTGGCAGGAAACTGTACTGCAATCCACCAGATGCTCTGCTGAAGAGGAAGGAACAATTGCCTCCTGTACTAGTCAGATCCAATTTGATGGTACACACATAAAATAAATAAGTAAATGAAAATTTAAAAAGAAAAATAGGAAGATCCTAATGAGAAAGATTAACACTAAATTTCATTCAGTTGAACACAGGGTCATTAGCAATCATCCAAGGTTACCCAATAGCACCAAACAACAAAGCAAACAGATTGTTTTCAAGCAGACTGCCAACATCATGGATGTTATCAGTATTAGCTATCTTATTAAACAACTATTCCTATTTGTTCACCATAAAAAGATCGCAAAAAAAAAAGTTACAGAAGAAAAATTGAAAATTTTAAGACTAGTTTCTTGAACAATATTTTCAAAGAAGTCTACTAAGCCTTTTCACATTCTATCTTAATAGGAAATTGAGAGTGAAAAAATTTATGTTGAATGAAAGCTCAAGACTACTAGCTTCCTAGGGAACTATAGTGACCTAGTGGTAAGGAGTTGTGCTGTGAACCCAAAGGCATGTGGTTCGAATCTGCTTCTGAAGAGAAAGCTAGGCAATCTCCATCAGGGTGATTTATTGCTTCCAAAAATCTAGGGGAGGGTCAGCTATGAGTTAGCTATCTTGATAGAACCCAAAGGCATATAACAACTTACTTTAGGAAAACCACAAAAACAAAATGTAGCAAAACTCAAAAGCACAATGAGCTGATAAAGTGAGGGAATCTCTGACAGGACATTCTCGGGATACAATTCATGAAAGAAATGGGTCTATTTGTTGGGCCTATAATAAAACTGTTAGCCATAAGTAGATTAGAATACTTTATGCCCAAAAGGAGAAAATGTTGGTTTTTACCTTGTAACACTGTTTTCATAAAATGAAGGAAAACAAAGCCTATTTTCCTCAAGGTCAAAAAACATTGCCATAAAATCAATCTCTTACAATCACCCTCCATCAAATTCCCCAGGGTACATAAATCATAAAAGGAGGACACCCTCCTACTATATTTCATCAAAATCAAGGAGAGAAATGGTATAAACCATGGCATTTTCATTTCAGTCATGAACAAGTTCAAAATCCTCAGGTAATATACCTCACAATGTTATAAAATAATTCACAATCAGGATCATAAAGTTTTGGCATTAGGAGGCTCCCTAGATGTTACTGAGCCTAACATCTAATTTTAAAGATAAAGAAAAGGAAGGGAAAGAACAAATGTTTGTTTCAATACATGGTTTCTTTAAGGGGGAAAACATGACTGAGATAAATAGTGCACGATGTAAACAGCACATTAATTTCTGTAATTTCAAAGTAGTATTTGAGAAGTAGTTACATGAGAGTATTATGTTAACTATAAGATTTAAAGTTCCCAAATTTCAGTATTTCTGGAAGCAGGAGAGGTCTGCTTCCTAAACAACATGCCTCTCGAAACTCTATGAACTCTGAGAAACAATAACTGAAAGGTTTCAGGTCTTTTGTTCATAGGGTCACTATGAGTCATTCTTGACTAGACGGCAATCAACAACATTAAATTTCTATTTAATCAATCTTAAAATGAAACTCAAAACCCAAACTCAATGCCGTTGAATCAGAAGTAACTCATAGCTGATCTTCCCTTCAGCAAGTTTCTGGGAGAATGTCTATTTTTCTCCTATAGAGCTGTTAGTGGATTTGAACCAGTCACCTTTCGGTTAGCAGTGCACTTCTCTACAGGCACAACCCGAGCTCCTTAAAATGAAACTAAATTAGGTAAATGGCGCACCCAATATAGCACCCCATCAAACCTAGAAATGAGATTTCCTAAGTGTCAAACCAGTACCAATATTTTTCAGATTTAAAAAATGTTTTCAAACTAGATGAAATAATATCCATTATTAGGCAATCCTGACCAGGCAGTGTTTCTGAGGCCAACATACAGGGTTGCTTAGACCAAATAACTCAACATCATCAATTTTAAAGAAATGTTTACTCTGTACAGAAGGCATTCAACATTTAAGAAGTTAAATGCCTCATTTTTCACTTGTCTTTCATTTGTATTATACTCAACGGGATGGTGATTGTTGCTGCAGTTATGTGTCATGAAGTCGCCTGCAACTCATAGTGGCCCTATGAACAATGGATCTGAACCATGCCCGAACCTGGAGGCGATATAAATATGTCTTGTGGAGCAACATGAAATCAAAGACCAGTAACCTATTCAAAGGAGGTCCTTCCACTAGTTCAGGACAGGACTCATGGTCCTATAACAATGTTGCCCAATATAGTATGATCCACACAAGTAATATTTTAACATGTGTTTTAAAGCAAAAGGAAAGAGATGTGTTTTAATAAATTTTACATATCCCAGTATGTTCAAATACCATATCAGCATGTAATCAATATTTTTAAATTTCTTGGAATACCTTAGGTATCCTAAGTACTCAGAACTCCAAAACTCGGCCTGTTAGGCTCACACACAGCTGCTTCTCATTTCAGAATGACTACATTTCAAGTGCTTTAACAGTCTGGCTAGCTAGCACAACTGCACAGCGCAGCACAGGTCTATAGCTATTTGTGGAGTGAATGAAAAACAGTTCCATTCATTTTCTAGTTCTATGAATTTCCCACTAAAGCTAACAGACCCCTCCCAAGAAAGTCTTTTATAAAGTAAGAAAGCAACCCTAACATCCCCAAAGCTGAAGGTATATATAGCACATGTAATTAGGCTTTTTGAAGCGTGTTCGAGCATACAATTTACTGTCTACTTTGATACATTAATCTCTGGGATAAATACGCTTGAATAAATTCCTGGGCAAGCAACCAAGGAGACACCTAATTAATGCTGATGCTGGTTGTGGCTTGAATTGCTCTCCATCTCTCCAAAACAAAACTGAAAGTCTTCTTCATATTTTTGGGGAAAGTAAACATTAAGATAAGAAATCATTTTCTCAGAAGCTGAGAACTTTGAGAGTAAGAATCGTTCAAAGGCATGTCTTACTTAAGATCTTCGCTGCTCATCTGTCATCAATCTGTACAAACCTTCAAAGAAGGAAGTCAGTTCCTGCTCGCTGTAAACTGCCAGAGGAGCTAACTGCAAAACAAAATTTCCTTTCTTTTGCCTTGTTGACAATTTATTGGAGTGTGTTAAGACCAAGAAAAAAGTCCTCCTCGTGTCACGCGATCATGCGATGTGAGAATACATGTGTGTCTGCGTATGTACGTATAAAAGCTGTGGCCCCCAAGGGGCTGGGTGGAGAAAGGCGAGGACCCTGCGGTGGGCACGGCGGGAGCTGTGAGCTCGGTGGCAGCAGCAGCACCTGCGCGCGTTGCTGCATCTCCCACTTAGGGTCGGGACCTGGGGCGCAGGATGGAGGAGGCTGGAAGAGGGCGGAGGAGGCTGGAGCAGGCCTTCCGGCGCCTCCCACCTGCCACACCAGGAGGGGGCACCGGCGGGCCCCCATCCCCGGGGGCGGAGTCGCGGGCGGCGCGGGGCGCAGGGCCCGGGAAGAACCCGAGCCAGGAGGAGCCCGTGGCGTCGGCCCCTCAGTCCCGGCATCACGCCGGCCGCAACCTTTGCTTACCGCCCCAAATCCCCAGTTTCAGCTGGGACTTGTCCAGGTTCTCCACATAGTCCCCCAGGAAGCGGTTCAGCAGGTCCGCGACCACCGACTCCAGCACCATGGTGCAGCCAAGGCAGCCAGAGCAGGAGGAGCCGGAACCAGCGGGAGCAGCTGAGGGCCAAGCCGCCGCGAATGACAGCCCCCCGGGCGCCGGCCCGCCCCGCGCCGCGCTGTGCGCGTGACCCCGCCTGTGCGCAGGCGCGCCGCCGCCGCCGCCACCGCGAGGGTGGGGGCCCTACGCTGCACGCGGGCTGACTGTGGGCTCTGGCTCAGCAGCCCGGACAAGGAGAAAAGGACATTTAAAAAGGCGAGGGGAAAGGATAGAAGTTCTACAACGGACCTAAAGCAGCTATGCAGTGGGCCTCATCCACTGCTTCCTAACCCCGCTCTGAGCGCGCCTCCAGAGCAACCACCCATCTTTTCACCTGCGGGTCCTGGCAGGGAAAGGAAACCTTGCATCCTTGTCCTGCTGCACATCGCCTCTGCCTGGAACAAGGTTTCGCGTCTTTTTGCTTCTTGAAAACACCCTTTAATAATTTAAAAGTTGGAGAGTGGAGATGCAGGATCGCATCATAATGAAAGAATAAAAATTGAATTGTTGGGACCCCTGGTGGCCTAGTGTCAGAAAGGTGCACTGCAGTCTCAGAGGTATAAAGTTCAAATCCACCAGATGCTCGGCTGGAGAAGGAGGGGCCATCTCCTCCTGTACCAGTCAGATCTGATTTTAAGGTACACACACAAAAACTAATAATAATAAAAAAAACATTGAATTGTTGTAAGTTAATTTTTCTCATTTTCGCGCTTTATCCACTTAGCCCCTAAATATTTTGGTTATCCTACTTCATTATGGAAATAAAGAACAAAGGTATACTATTTCATTTCTATTTTTAAGTACATTATTATTGTGATTCTTTACATAATTTATTTTCTGCTGTTACTCATTTGTCTCTGAAGTAGCAGGATTTTTTTATTATCTGAGAACTTTCCATCCTGGGGAACCGAAAACACACTGACAAACCCTGTTTTCTTTGTTGTTGTTGTTGTTTGTTCATTACCATCGAGTCAACCATGATTCATAGTGACTCTGAACAAAAGGCCTGATGCCTTTATACAGTGATCGTAGTTTCTCAAAGTTCATAGTTTCCAGAAGCATGTTGTTTAGAAAGTGGATGCCACTCCTGCTTCCAAACCTGTTTTAAAACTGGGAGCTCTACCAAACACTGCCCACCAAGGGAACCAAGAACTGTTTCGTTTTAGCCCCCTAAAATGCAGTTTTAAAAACTGTTGTGAGATATGGTAAGCAGAAAAAAAACTTAAGAAATGCCAGGATTACTTGTAATCTCAAACATTTATTAAATACCTTCCTACGAGATAATGACTGAAAGAATTATATTGTTTTGAAAGTAAAAACCTCAGGCTAGTAAAATATCTAAAAGGGGGTAAAAAATAATTTTTTTAAGAAACTCTTAAGTCCACAGTCTTGAATCAGAGAAGGAAAAAAGTAAAAACATTTACAATTGGTGTTATGTGAAGTGGTTGATACAGAATGACAAAACCGAACATAACCAGTCCTATCAACATCCACCTTCGTCCTCCACTCCTGCACATGGAAGATAAGTCCTTAATCGGTTGTCTTTTCCTAGTTCAGTTACCAGATTCCTAGAAGGCATTTTGAATTTAATCTTCTTCATCATCTATAGCCTGAATAGCCAAGCCTGTCTGGTCTGCCTTTGCCAGACCAAAATGTATATCCATTGCTGTCCAAACAATGTTTGACTCAGGGCAACCTTCCATCTGTTTCTGAGGCTGTAAATCTTTACCAAAGGAGACCATATGTCTTCCTCTCAAAGACCAACTGGTAGATTCCAAACACTCATCTTTGTGCCGCCAGAGCTCCTTGCATTTGCTCTAGTTCCTGAATTTTCTTTATATCTCACCTGAACCATACAGTCATCTTCCAGCGCCCTCTTGGACTCCAGTTCTTCCCTTCACCAGTCCTTCCCTCACAACCTGAGTTTAGTTTCCCAAAGCAAAGGTGAGCTCAGATAGTTCACTTAATACCTTCCCAGAATTCAAAGCATCCTCCTCAGTCTGTCATCCAGTTGTTTATGGTCTTACCCCCTAGCAATCCTCTTCCACACCCAGTATGCACTAAAGGGAATGCATACAACCTATGTTCTGGTCAAGGTAAAAGCTTGCACCATAAAAAATGTCTAAAACCAATACGAGGATATATGAATAGCAATGTATGACAATATGAAAGAAGCCATGGGCAACATGCAACTGTCAAACCAATGAAACAGAAGTTAATAGTCTCATGGAGGAAATGAGAAACATTAATGTCTTGGATGATAATAATTCCTGTACCGTCTATACATCATAATTGTCAAAAAGTCACTCATGTACTTTTATATGCATCACTCCATTTTGTTATTAGTGCTTCAGTTATATAATGTCATTATTATGCCAATACATACATTTTCATGTTGTTGTTGTTGTTGTTGTTGAGTCGCCTGTGAGTCATGGCAACCCTATGCACAACAGCCCTAAACCCTACTGTATCCTGTGCCAATCTTATTGTCTCTGACCTACTTACCCCCATTACCCCAGTAATTGAATAAACCAATCTCGTCAAGGGTCTTCCTCTCCTGAGCTGTCCTTCTATCCTCCCAAGCATGACGTCCTTCTCGAGTGGTCAGTCCCTCCCTGCAACAGGTACAAAGTATGTCCGATGAAGCTTCAGAATTCTTGCCTCCAAGGAGCAGCCTGCTTTAACCCTCTCTAGGATGAACCTGTTCATTCTCTTAGCAGTTCATGATATATTCAATACTCATTTCCTACACCACAACTCAAAGGCATCAATTCTCCTTCTATCATCCCTAGTCAGTGTCCAGCTCTCTGATATATTGGAAGTGATTGCAAAAAACCATGGCCTGTATTAAGTGCACCTTGGTCTCCAGACTGACATCACTGCTCTTCAGTACTTTGGAGAGGTCTCTAACAGTGAACTTTCCCAATGCAATACATCTTTTAATTTCCTGGCTGCTGGTGCCAAGAGTGTTGATTGTGGAGCCAAGCAAACTAAAGCTGTTTAACTGTTACAAAAGATTTGTGAGGTTAAATGATAAAGGTATTTGTACTGTCCCCATTTTGTAGGAAAATTATGCTCAGGAATGTTAAGTGGCTTACCCCAAATCACAAAGCAGACATTCATTTCCTAACCCCACTCCCTATGGACTATTCCACCAGAGGTCCCTCAGCATTGCCACTATTGTTAATCACCTATAACTCATAAGGATCCTATGAACAATACATCTGAAACTTGTCCTATCCTGTACCATCCTCACCATCTTTGATATGCCTGAGCCCACTGTTAAGAGTCACCATATAAATGCATCTTGTTGGATGCCTTCCTCTCTTTCTCTGACTTTTCTTTCCCAGAAAGATGTCTTTATCCAAAGACTGGCTCTTCCTGCCAGTAAATTACTTTTATTTTTTATTCATTTTGTCTCTTATGTCATTGCTATAATCCTACTTTTTCTCCTATGAATTTATTATTTCCAGGAGCTTGTCAGTTCTTTTGAATATTCTACATAGATACAGCTGTTGTCAAAAATAGTTTTATTTCTTCCTTCCCAGTGTATATGCTTTCTGGTTCCTTTTCTACCTTACTGCATAAGCTAGAACTTACAGTATGATGTTGCATAGGAGTGCTGAAAGGTGACATCCTTATCTTATGCCCATTCTTAGAAGGAAAACAGAGTGCTAAAGAATAATGTTGTTAGTTTAGAGACTAAGGTGTGTCTGATCCAGACCCCAGTATCTCAATTGTTTGCCCTGCATTTGAGAGCTGAATGATGACTAAGAAAGAAGAAAATTTGATGCCTTTGAATTGTGGTGCGAAAGAAGAATATTGAACATATCATAGACTACCAAGAAAACAAAGAGGTCTGACCTGGAGAGGGTGAAGCCAGTTTGCTCCCAGGAAGTAAAGATTTTGAAACTCTGACTCATATACTTTCGACATGTTGCCAGGAGGGACCATCCTTCAAGAAGGATATTGTGCTTGGAAGGGTATAGGGTCAATAAAAGAGAGGAAGACCTTGGATGAGATGGATTGACACAGTGACTATAGCAATGGTGTCAGGTGTGTCAGAGACAGTGAGGTTGGCTCAGGATAAGGAAAGGTTCAAAGAAGGAGGAAAACATGTAGATTTTAATCTGAAACATATTTTAATGTTTTCCATCTTTAGATTATTTTGAGAGATTGATGGATATGCACATACAGTAACGTTTCAAATATTTCATACTTTTTGTAGAAATTAGAGGTGAGAGAGATGGCAGAGTGCATAGGGAGCTGCACTGCTAACCCAATATTCAGAAGAGAGATGTATACGCCCCAAATTACAGCTCCCATAAATCCAGTGGAGGGTCACCGATAAGTCGGTTCCATAGCAGCAACAATGAATGAATTTGATAGATAATGTTATGAAATACCATTTGTACCCTAATATACAGCATCATACAAGAGGAATGTGGATACAACAGTTAATGTTACAGAGAAAATAAACATTCTAGTAATAATAGTTATTATCTTCATTCTGGTTTGAGACCATTAACACAAAACAATTACAAAGTAAGCTACAATGAGGGATTGAGCAATAAAAATATTAGCAAAGCATTTCTGTTAAAAACTAAGTTCCTCTTATTTTCCAAATTATTTTTAAATAAATTATAAAATCACGTAACCCCATACCCATGCCCATTTTCCAACAATAGAATTTGTAGAGATCAGCAAAAAAGGAGTCAGAAAATGTAAAATAAATTATGATACCATGATAGTATAAACTTAAGAAGGCTAAGAGAAAAAAAAAAAGAGGGGGCATGAGAGTGGTTTATAGAATATTCAAGCCAGAGGGGAACCTGTAGATCAACCTCCTCTTTTAACAGAGGGGAGACATGAAACACTGACTCCCAGGGAGAATGAAAGGACTTGCTTCCTATCTCCTAAAGAGCTAGTGACAGTCTGAGTTAAAACTCACGTGTCCTGGGGAATTCTGGTGGCTTTGTGGCAAGAAGCTGCACTACAATCTCAGAGGTATTCCGTTCGAA